ATTTGGTCATTTACAGGGCGTGGCATCTTGAGCGGTTTATTTCTTGGGCCTCTTTCGAGTGAATATTCGTACTGGTCATAGCTGTTACTCGAATACAGTAAGCTAAGGTCTACATTACAATCTGTAGATCTTAAAAATATGTTTTTTTCATTTCTAAAATGCTCATTACTATTAGTGCTATTCCACTTTTGATGTTCATTCTCGTACAGTGGTTTTCCAAACCCCTTACGAGATTCAATTCCATATATCGTATATATATCATATATTTTTAGCAATAAACGAATGTTATTCCGATCTTTCATAGTTTTTGACAATCCGATCGTTTAACCCACTGGTACCCGGTAACAACTACTGCCGGATTTCAGTTTTACGATGGTGCTTTTGTTAACACCTTTTGAAATACATCCATCCTCATCAGATCCTTCATAGTTTCATAGCTTCATGATATCCAAGTATAGCTCAAGCTACACGATCATTTCTCCTTGGCTTAAGGTTTTCATCCATTTCGCTGCGATCACGGTTTGAAATACAATAAAAATGATTTTTTATCTGGAGAATCTGGAGACTTGGTCAAAAATGCAAAACCTTTTGTCTAGTACGGTGACAACTTGGTCTATTTTTCACTTGCACATGTATGTGTGCTTTTCGGCACAAATTCCACCTGTCATTTCATCTTGAACAGTCTCTAATCCATGGACGCTTCTTCAGATTTCGTGTTGTAGAAGAGTTGTGGCGCGATCCGAATCCAGATGGCCCCAAGTCACTTACCAACACAAATGCAGAAGCCGCGGCTGAGGCTGAAGCGTTGGCCGAGGATCAACCTATCTACAATGCGCCCTATACTCTGATTGTAAGTCCATCTCATCGCCTCGGTTCGTTCAAACGCTGTTTGTCGCACTCGCTTTCTCTGTGTTTATTTTTATTGGAAACTATTATTTGGCTCCCTTCAGTTAGTTCATGTCTAGTCTATAACCACTATTTGTATCAATCAACTCACATGGTAACGAGTTCCCATTTTCGACCCACAGATTCTTAATGGTTCGCTGCTTTTCCTCTCCCGAACGTGGGTTTCAATCTGTTCCGATTTTCGGACAAGCTATCACCCCCCCGCCCCCTGTTGCATAACAAAGAACTATCCGAAACGCATAACTCACGCGCTTCAAACCATTAGCCATTTGGCGCCCCACCGGTACGGATCCATTGAACTCCGAACGTGAAGTTTCACCTCGACAGAAACCATTGCTGGTCGACTTCTAGTCCTCGATATGTGTACTAACAAAACCAGTCCATCTAGGCACTTCAGCTGCCCGTTACGAATAAGCCAAACTGCCAAGTGGACGCAAATGATATCATATGAATGCATAAATGATGTGGTAATGCTAGTTAGCCTTCCCCGTTCTAGCATAGAGGATCTCCTCCAACCCATACTCTTATCCTTCTGGAATAACGCTGCTAATCCCTCGGCAACCTGACCTGACCAATTGCTTATTCGTCTATGATGTTTTGTTTTGCTACGCACATGGGATCTATAGTAACTAGGCTGGAAATCATCAGTGACCGTCCATCGTTTGTCACTAAACCTCCAAATTCGTTTATTTTTCAGTCACGCGCGCTATCCTCCCGAGTAAGCGTGCAATCGTAGTCGTTATGACAAAATAGCACCGAGCTCGGTAGAAGGGGTTACCGCGAGGTGGGTTTTTCAAACGATCGCGGAAGGTGTGTTGCATGAGCTTCAAAATTAATTCACAAATCATTTTAACAGAAATCACTCCAAACGGTGCAGGTTTGACATTGTACCCCCTCAAAGTGCAATGACGATTTCGTTTGATGAAAACAAGATCCGGCACATGCCATACAGGCCTTGCAAATGGTCCGACAGCGCACAAAGTTTACTTTTCAAAGAAATGGTATCTTGCTGATGTATCCGGCACGTTTAATGCATGAATGGCATTCAAAAATCGATACGAGCTATCGGTTACAAATTATTTTAAATACAGAGTTACGTCATTCGACAGTCAGTAAAGAAATGTGTTGTAAGAAACTCAGGTAGATAAATTGTAAAAACGACAAGAAACTAAAAAGATTATCAATCACATCAACAGCAACCGATATCCAACTGCAAACTTGGGCTCTTGGACGTTCCATGGTTTCTGTTGAGGAAGCCCTACTCGTGGCAGGCGTGTTTTCTCACCAAAGTGAAAGGACAAAAGGCCAACATTCGGGGCTTTAACCGGGTAGTTGAACTACTGGCAGTTCACCTAGGAGAGTTGGATAAAATACCTGATCCCAAATCATCCAAGAGGAGGCGTACGAATCGCACACACTTTCCTGGTCGTGGTAGTATCACTGGTTCGATTGGACCTCAAGGTGTATTGGGCGCTTGGACCTTTGACCCCGTCCAACGGGCGTATGATTCGATAAACGACACCATGATCATCATCATCAGCGAAGCGAAGCGAACTTCCCTGGTCGCTGTGACACACCATCCCGCTGTTTTGTGGGTCAGGCTTTGGCGAGCTGAAGGCTCCGGTTCTTAATTCCCTGAGAAAGTTCACCTGCTTTGATCTGGGCAAACCAACAGTATCGTGCCCTCAAACAGCTCATGGACTTTTGTCTTTTCCCCAAGATTATTGCTTCGTGATTTGTTTGACACAGTTCGGTTTGTACAACCATTAACCATACACTTTTGTGCACCGGTTTTGGCTGCCCATTTGGATGAACAGTAGGAGAAAAACAAGAAAGTTGAAAGAAGAATCGAAGAGAAAATGGAAATTTACAGTGAACTGAAGTTTCAAAGAAATCGCAAAGGTGCACAGTCCGGCTTCAGACTTGTCAGGTAACAATAATAATAAATGCTCCATGACGGGCGACCACTTAAATAAGCGAAGGGGAAGTACAATTAAGGTGTAGACTCGAAGGACACAAAGCAGTGTACTCTGACTAGTTTGGATTTAAAACACACCAAAGAAAACGGCGTGAGATTCCTCACAATCCGTAAGCAGATCTCGAGTCATGAACGATCGATCGATCGATTGGATAGGATTGGGATACATACACATTCACGCGGACAGACGAATGAACAACAAAATGTTCAAGCAGCCAGGTAAGATTTGTCCTAGTTTGATGGTCGAGATCGCAGGTTTGGTCATGTGACAAAGAGAAGATGGAATACCACGAAGGCACGCCGATCACGTGTTGTCTCCGGTGAAGTATCTGTATGCCATTTTTGTCGTTTACACTGGAGGTCAACTGATGGAGATGGCGTCGTAACGGTTAAGAAACAAAAAAGCGCTAGGGAAACGAAACAACGTGAATCATGCATGGCATAGTAAGAGTTTTCTGTTTTTTTTTAAATGTCTGTTCTATAAGATTTTTCATATACAGTACACACCTTCCCAGCTGATGCGCTCACTGTTATCCGGTTTTCTGTCCCTTTTCCAGGGTTCGATTGTGGCTGATGGTCTCGGGGTGACTTGTTGGTGGGTGAACTAAAAACGCATCATGGTACGGTACCATTAAGACTCACCTGTATAAACAGTCCGTGTACATAAAAGAGCCTCTCCTCTTGTTGTACTATCCTCTCAATTTGTTGCTTGCTTCAAATATCAAATTGACGGCCAAGTGGCTAATGGTGATGATACAATCTGATATCATCAAGATAAACTTTGCTTCGGAAAAAGTATACTGGAAAATAGTTGATGTACAACATGCTGATCGCTAAAAGTCGTTTACTGAACTTGTGCTTTGGACTTCTTTAAATTCCCGATATCAACCCAGCCGAACAGAATTTTTCTTCACGGTAGGGCCTTTGATGGTTCGCCACTCCAAGTCCCGGGGTTTAGGTTACCATGACGGAGCAGCAGGTCTTCGTGACCATGGGGTTCACCCCGTCTATTGTTTGTCACACAAATGTGTGCAGAAAAAATCCGGGACAGGGAAGTTCGTGGACTGAAATGCGAATCTCGGATCATGTAGAGGAGGTTAAAGGTACTACACAACATTTCACGTTTATCTTTTCGTTTCATATCCTTCTGCTGAATATGTCTGTATATGTATATATAATGATAAAAACAGTTGTCAGGGGAGAGAAGCGGCCAGTCATAGGGCAACCGTACATAGAAAATGAGGAAAGTTAGACGGCGGTAGCGGCATTCGAATGCACGTCCTCTGGAACAGTAAGTTGTTGAAATTAATCGCTTCGTGAATTCATGAAAGCTGGATTCTTTTCCCCGGGGAAATGGAGACTGCACATTCCAATGGTGGACAGCATATCATTTGGTGAAGGTGCATTGTATAGTATTGTTTAGATGACGGATAACTCCCTGGTTGAACTTAATTTTGAATGACCAAATCTCATCGCTTAGCTACTAGCGTGATGCATTTCTCGTGGTAGCATTTTCTAAGGTAGCTCAGTGGAGCCGTGTCGTAGTTATAATCTGCTTAAGTTTCTCATATCACAATAGTTGTATCAACGTCATGTCAAATTTAATCATTCCGGATGACTTTCAAGGATGAAAAAGTGTATGAAAATATTGGGTTTTGCTGCGGTATAGTACGTCATATTGGCAATAATCCTTCGGGTAGTGATGATAATCAGATATTTTGAGCCATGAAGTGCTTATATGTTTTTCATTTATGTAAGAGAGCTATATCACTTCTTCGGACATATCGATTTACCTTCGAACTGAGATGAAATTGAAGGGCTCAAACCTAGTTGATTACAGTGTTCTTGCTCCTAATTTGAACAGCTGGGATGCCACTATTCATGAGAACTCATAAGCAAACACTCCTTTAGAATAAACGTAAGAAAATTGATAAACACCCAAACAAAATTCAGTACTTCACTTCACTTGTCCCTCTAGACTTTTACCCTGCATACCTCAACTAGTATATTTTCAGTTTTTAAGCTTTACATAGTGATCTGTGGCTACTGGGGATTATACAAGCGATTCATGTGATGTACAGAATTTGAAGGCTGCTTAAGCAAACATCGTCTATACATTAGAACTTTTTATAGGGCTACTGAGAGATGAGATGGAATGGAAAGCCGAAGAACCGCGCTAGTGGCCACATTTTTCATAACAACAGCGGGTGTGAGCATCAAACGGTGGATTATCAAAACATTTGTGATTCACACTCACAGTGGGAGCAAAGTAATAAATGGATAAAGATATTCTGAGACTTGCACGATGACCGCTGGTCGCATATTCGTATTGAGATGCCAAGACCGACTCCGCTTTACACATTCGATCAGAGGATTCCCTAAGAATTGTCACCGATATTATTCTGACTACTCGCGAGTAGTGAGATTCAATAAGCAGCATATCATCTGTAACGGGAGCTAAATTTGCCGTTGACGCTCCAAGCGGTCTGGTGGACGCAGTAGATTTTATCTGCTTAATATGTCCTGTTATGACTTCATCATATCATACAGTTTAAGCCTTCATTGTGGGGATAATAAAGTTCAATATGTTAATCAAATAGTGAAACTAAAACAGCTTTGAATTCAATGTGGAGTCACAATCAACATTAGAGGTGTGAATGCCTTGGAATGCGGTTGCATGGGGATGGAAGGCAAAATGTGCGTATCATCGCAAGGGGATCCAGGCGGAAAGATGGAGCGTGTGGACGGATAGGAAAGACCAGACAATACGTCTAGGTGTAATGGATGAAGAGGGTCGTCTGGAATCTTATTGACGAAATTAATACGAGAGTCTATTTAACAATTATTATGCGATCTGTGAATCACAATGCACTACTAATTATCACCAAACCACGACGAATAGTTTTGAACTCATGTTTTAAGAGGCCTAGAAACACTACACGGCGACAGCATAATAAAATTGGGAAACCGCACCGGTGAACGAAAGAAGACAAAACTAACTGTGGGCTTCGGGATTTTCTGCGTTTCCGTGACTGAAACGAGAGGCGTCTCGGTTTCGCGGTACAACTGAAGAATACTGTCGGTGGGTAGACCTAGGTGCTTGAAAACAGAAGTCACTCTAGACAGAGGGTTACAGTTAAGAGTAACAGAACTGATGGGAAATGTAGTGCGCGAAAGACTGCATGAACTGTAGCCACTTGTATGTATTAAGCCTAAGACCGGATTGGTTGCGAAGCTATTGGTTAGATTTTTAAGTGAAGTAATAAAATTCTGAAAATGAAATTGTCTGACACAAGACGACATTGTCAGCATACTTTGGGATGAAACTCATTTTAAAGATGAAATCTGACGACGAACGTATTTGTCCGTGGCAATTCATGAAATTCAATTTCACATTGTTTGACGTGGAGTGAGCGGGAACTTGGGGGAAGATAGAGGAACTTTTCAAAGTTCTACTATTGGATGTGGTCGAAATTTGGATCGGAGTAGATCTTTGTCATCGAGATAGGAAATAAGTCATCAGTGTGAGAAGAGAACAGTGGAAGCTGAGTCTATCATCAAAATCTATCTGACAGTTTGCTCGTCGTAACGAGCATGACCTTCGTGAGGGTCAGTAGCTTTTACTTTGTACTGTGCTCAATAAAAGTAAACCGAATATCGTTGAACGCGGTATCGGGATTGTAGACAGAGCGAAAAGCATGATGTTAAGCGTGAAGGTGCAGAAATGGACTACTCCGTGTAATTAAAAATTGTGGACTTTAAACTTGCTTCGACAAAAAGTTAATTATGTCACCTACGCGGATCTAAGTGGCTTCTAATTCCGGAACGTAGAGTTTCTGCTCCTGGAACTCCGGTCCTCTATCAGCGCATCGATTCAAACGCGTATCCATGGTACGGCGCTACCATTCAAAGCGAAAAATCTGAGTTAGGCCCGCTATTTTTTTGTGAAGTGTTTGCGCTTGGGGAAACCCCTCACCGGTTTGTGCACGCAACGAACTTGATCGTTTTATGTAGCGCAAATTGAATCTAGGATCAGTAGTGAAGTTGGTTTCATATTGAACTGCGAGACAAGTGAAAAGTTCTTTGGAACACTCGTGTCGCCGACTGTTCGTATCCAGATTGCGTGTAACGTCACTTGTTGCCCGATTTATTCTCCAAAACTTATCATTTTTAATCCCTACCAACTTGTGGAGTATGTGTATTTCCACCGGGACTAGGTGCAGTTTACAATCTAACCAGTTAACCACGGTCACGCACATTGGTGGCCAAGTGGTCAGGTCACCAACTAGTGACCTGGGTGCCCCCGGATTCAAACCGCCCCCCCGCCTTTCCTGTAGCCGTATTTTCCCCAGGCAGCCTTTGTATGATCGCAGCCCCCTTCCTGAAGGTTGACTGTACATTTGTATATTCAATAAAAAGAAAAAGAAAGAAAGACATTTTTTTATTATAGCTCGTTATTAGTGAGTAACCATCGTCCCATCCGGATCGTCTATGTGTAATGAATTCAAAGGCAACGTTGTGAAATGTAAGGTTTGCAGTACGGGGAGCGGGTCGTGTTCCATACGCAGCCGTTACCGTATGCTACAAACGAAAAGGATCTGGCAGTCGTTGTTCAGAAGAATCTAGGATGTTGCACATATGGTGTCAGTGTCATCCATGGCCCCAAAACAAGTTGGGTCACGCGTTTTTGAACGTCCGAAACAGACATGTTATTCCGTTCGCTGTCTGCATACATTAGACCACACTCAGAGTATCCTACACCGGCTTGGAATCCATGACGAAAAGGCACTTAAACGTGCGCGGAGAACAGTGACCAAAATGGTCAAACGGTTACAATCCAAAACCGACGTTGAGAGAGTGCATGTTCTCGGACTCCATTCGTGTGAATACTATTGAATACGGGAGATATGATCCACGTATACCAAATACTACATCAACCCAACCACCCGTGAATGATTATTTCAGGAGACACATTTCAAATTTTTGCTCCAAAGAAGTCGGCTAGACTGCAGGCATCACTCTTTCAGCTTCAGAGTCCTTAATACTTGGAGATCTGTTCTACCTCAAGTTATTTGTGCTCTAACCATCGACACAAGTCACGGCTCGATGAAGCTCTGAAATATCTAACTGTTCAGTAGCCGTGAATGAACATGCTACCTTGTTATTTAATTATACCATCAACCGAACCCAGTGTGTACAGATCCTCAGGGAACTCAGTACCGGCATCGACTTTACAAATTACTCATTATAAAAATCTGAATTTGGATTCGAACCCCAAATCCATAGCGCAAAAGACTGGTACGTTAACACTGCACTAGCCATTCCACATCGAGAGTGTCCAGAATCACCATGTCATGTTTGTTCAGATTTCGTCCTCAACAATATTCAGTTCGGTGTTCACTCGGAACCTCTGAAGTAAGAAGCAGAATGAAGCCTGTTAATTTGAATGAAAGACACCCACTGGATCAAATCCTCTTAGGTGGTCCAGTTGAGTCTGCTACTTGGTGATTTCGGAAACCGAAGTTCAACTCGCAAATTTCGAACTCCAGCATAGCTAAATTGGGATAGCGTATGCTGTAGCAGATATCAATTGCGATTCCGCTTACTG